ACACTGTTGCGGGACACTCTTGCGGGACACTCTTGTGGGACACTCTTGTAGGACACTCTTGTGGGACACTCTTGTAGGGCACTCTTGTGGGACACTCTTGTGGGACACTCTTATAGGACACTCTTGTGGGACACTCATAACTCTTGTGAGACACTCTTGTGGGGCATGGTTGCGGGACACTCTTGTGGGACACTCTTGTGAGACACTCTTACGGGACACTCTTGTAGGACACTCTTGTGGGACACTCTTGTAGGACACTCTTGTGGGACACTCTTACGGGACACTCTTGTTGCACACTCTTGTAGGACACTCTTGCGGGTCACCCTTATGGAACACTCTTGTCGGACACTCTTGTGGGACACACTTGTAGGACACTCTTGTGGGACACTCTTGTGGGACACTCATACGGGACACTCTTGTGGAACACTCTTGTAGGACACTCTTGTGGGACATGCGGGACGCTCTTGTGGGACACTCTTGTGGGACACTCATACGGGACACTCTTGTGGGACACTCTTGTGGGACACTCTTGTAGGAGACTCTTGTGGGACACTCTTGTGGGACACTCTTGTGGGACACTCTTGTAGGAAACTCTTGTGGGGTACTCTTGTAGGACACTCTTGTGGGACACTCTTGTAGGACACTCTTGTGGGACACTCCTGTAGGGCACACTCTTCGTACGAGACTTCCTCCAAAAGTCACGCTGCGAGGCTGCAAGACGAGCGTTTCGTACGAGACTTCCTCCAAAAGTCACGCGTCAAGTCTCAAAAACGAGCGTTTCGTACGAGACTTCCTCCAAAAGTCACACGTCAAGTCTCCAAAACAAGCGTTTCGTACGAGACTTCCTCCAAAAGTCACATGTCAAGTCCCCAAAACGAGCGTTTCGTACGAGACTTCCTCAAAAACTCACATGTCAAAGTCTGCAAAACGAACGTTTCGCACGAGACTTCCTCCAAAAGTCCAGCGGAAACACCCATCGGAGCACACACATCACGCAGCCCTGCCAAGCAGTTTCGCGATTCCAGCCCCTCCAAACGACACCCGCTCACACGCCAATCCCAATGTGACAGCGACATTCACCTCTACCACAACTCACAACCTCCCGATTCCCTGCGCCTGCCACGAATCCTTCCGCGTCCACACGTCTAACGCGCACAAAGTACTGCGCCTGCCACGAAATGTCACCTCCGTCACACATCGCAACCTCACGATTCCCTGCGCCTGCCACGAAAATCATACTTCCACACCTCAAAACCCGCACAAAGTCCTGCGCCTGCCACGAAAAGTAACAATGTCATCTCATGTGAGCTTCAACAAAATTTGCACCACACCATACGTTTGGAATGATTTCGACCCGTTCTGAGCACACTCCCATCCACCAAAATCGGCATTTCAGCTGAGACTTGTCACGAAAACAGAGCTTCGATGCCACACCCTGAAACGCAAATCCCAATGGCACGGCCACATCCAACACCCCAAAAACACGACTCTCCAAACGCTAATCCCAATGGAACTGCGCAGCAATCTGCAGATCTCACAAAACGCTGCGCCTGTGCAGCGAAATGCATCACGCTTCTTGCGCGACATGTCATTTTCACGCAAATCACAATGGACTAGCGTCGCAAACTGACACGTGACACATCCATGAATAGTCACTTGCAAAAGCTTCCCCCAATGGCAGCGCCTTAGCGACCTACTGCGGACGGTTGCGAACGGTTGCGAACGGTTGCGAACGGTTGCGGACGGTTGCGAACATAGAAGCAACGGGTCGCGAACAAGACTCTACCCCCAGACCCCCAAGAGTTAAACGAGAACCCTTCGCTACGAATTCGGGAAAAAAAACACCCAGCCCATTGGTTTTTACCTGGTTTTTACTATAAGGACTTGACACTGCAAAACCAGGTCTGTCCCATTTCTGTCGTGGAAGTCTACATCCACTCCCCCCTTCTGCCAGCCTCACGGGTTGATCTCCGGACCTCTTCGGTCTCCGGACTCCAACGGCCCGGCCGCTCCGCTCTGGGCCACCCGGGCAGGTCAAAGTCAAAGAGATGAAAAGCCACCAGGCCCGAGTACTGGGATCCACCGGGATCGGCCGAGCGGATCGAAGCGGATCGACGGAGAAGCACAGCGCAGAGCTGGTTCGGTCGTCGCAGCTGGGGGATCACAGGGAGGGGAGCAGATGTCTGGGGGTGTGCAGGGGAGTCCACAGGATGGGCTGTGCTGCATCCTGTGTCCGGTCATAAGGAATTGGTCAGAAAACTTTTAAGAGAGATGAGATGGAACACCGACCCTCCAAGCGACGAACGAGTGCTGCGACGCCCGTCAGCGCCTCATGCGGCAGATGCATCCCAACGGACTGCAAGGCCAAATCCACCTGCACCTCGCTCGCTCCGCGAACCGGCGAAGGGTCTGGACTGAGAGTCGGATCTCGGGTCTCCTGACCCCCCAAAAGGGTGAAATCCTTATGCTAGGATTCGAAGCACCGTGGAGTTTATAGCCTGAATCGTGAACCAATCCATGGTCTTTACTCAGGAACCGAGACTAACCTAGACTACGAAACCAGCTCAACCATTTTCGTGGAAGGCTACGGCTCAGAAACGTCCCACCAGCCACCTTCAATCTCTTCACACGGACGACACCGGAGGGCTCCTCGGAGGGTCCCTGGACTGTGGAGGGCGAGGCCTGAGGCCTGAGGCCTGCTGCAGTCTCTCTAAAACGTGATGGGAGATCAAGCAACCTTCTGCTGGCTGGTGGCCTCTTGGCACTTGCTCTCAGAACATCTGAATCCCCAGCCCGGACGTTTAGAGGCTTGAACAACTGATCTCAAGTTGGATCACTTGAAGTAACTGCGAAGTCACGGCTTATAAGTCACGGAGTCACGAAGAGCGAGAAGAGTTAAAGAGATCTAATCTCAGATGGGTTCTTCCAAGTGACGGACCTTCTCAATTCATTTAGATGTCCAAACAAGATCCGAAAAGACCAAGACCCTTGGAAGAGCCCAGCCCGACCCACCGTGCACCCACCCGGAGGGTTTGCGGCAGCACCCGAGCCACCTCGGAGAGGAGGCCGGTGCCATGAGGATCCAACTTCCCGAAGAGCTGTCGAAGCTCCTGCGACCCGGAGACCGGAATCCAACCCGAAGAGAGAGCGAGCTCTAGCTCAACTTCGCTCCACGAAAGACCACGCAGGTACTGTGAAAGTGGGGGCTGGTGGCATGGAAGAGAGGTCCCAGACGAAGCCTCCGGAGTTCCGGGCGGAAAAAAGGAGTTCCGCTTGCACACCTCGACCCTTGCACTCACGTCGTTCGCGAGGCCCGCGAGGCCCACGAGAGAACCGCGCGCGCATTGAATTTGGGCGCTCGACCTGATCGGTGTTCGGCGCTCTGCTTGCTTCGAGCAGAATCGGGATCGAGCAGTGGACCTAAAGGTCCTCAGACAACTCATCTCAGCGACTCATCAGACGACACCGACATCCTCTGATCTGAGCTGAGCTGAGGTCCTTGGGCCCATTCAAAACCTAAACTGTAGAGGTAGTGGTACTGTTCACAAACAACCTCCTGCACCGCAAAAACTGCTGCAAACCCATGTACTCTTGGCTTTGCTTAGATCTTCGAATGCCTTGTGGAGGCTCGGAGGCTCGTGAACAGCACCTGACTTTTTACGCTTCACTTCTGGGGAAGAAGCTCAGCGTGCACTTCTTCGGGGCTTCTGCCCGAAACGAAGCGTCGGCTTCTGCGCACGAAGATGTCGACCAAAACGAGTGACGAAAACGTCGGCGCCATCTCAGCGGGCATGCACCGGCACCTGAATCCAGGTCGTGAAAAAAATAAAGCACCAACTGAGGGTCCTTCCACCAACTCGACCGAGTCAATGACAGCTCGAAGTTGATTCGCGTTGACGAAGTGACTGATCAAAGGTGACTGGATGCACGTGTGGGTGAACAATGCGTTTTTCTACAGGAACCAAGCACAACACTTCCCAGCCCAACACTTCCCAGAAGTGCCAAGCCGAAGTGTTGCTCATTTCAGCATCTCTCCCGAGGTTTTGGCTCGACCCACCCGAGAGCGGCGAGAGCGAGCGGTCTTCGATCGAGGGTGCGTTGTAGTAGATCCCCAGACCGCTGATGCCCACAAACGTCAGCACCTCGCATGCGATGGCTTCACAGGAGGGTATATCTCCAGCTGGGAGGGTGAAACGAATGTACCTGGTCGACCATCCAAAGGGTGTCCTGTCTGGAGATCTCTAAGTATAGTGTACGGTAGCCAGGAACACCCCTTACTGGTCCTGGTCCTGGTAGACTTGTTCATGAGTTGAAACCCCCACCATTTTGGATTGTAAAACCTCTTTAGGCCTAAGCCTTTGGTGAAAATCATACGGCGGTCAACGAAAAGGGTCCGAAAGCGGACGAAGAAAACCCTCTTCAAAAATACACAGCGACCGGCCGAAAACTTTAAGAGTCCATGAGGCATCTTCTTTTTCAGGAGTCCACTCGTTCCTTGCCACCAGCTCACCAGTTGTTTTTTTCACATGTCCTTGAAATGTATATCCCGCATAGAGCACAGTACTTCAGCAAGACTCCCACCAGCAAGAGACGCATCCAGACATGCCTTCAATCTTTGGGTTTCACCACCCCCCACTCTGACCATGTCCGTGTTTTCTGCTCGGCCGCACCAGTGCAGCCATCACCCCAGGGCGGTGCAGCACATAGGAGGTCAGGATGGTGCAACAGCTGCCCAAAACTGGTCTTACACGCGCAGAACCTGGGGGGTACAGCGTGTCACCGGATGTCTCACGAAGTAGGTAGTGTTTATTTCTTCATGGGGTGGAGACCCGAAGCAAGGTGGACACCGGACACAACCTCTCATCTGCATGCTGCATGAATGTCGTGAGACGAAGGGTCGTCCCGAAGCATTTCTGCAGATCCCAAGCAATCTGCGGAGACTTTGCTTCTGTCCATCAACTCCAGTGGGACCTGGTTCCTCAACATCTTCGGCTGACCCTGTTCGTCTTGAGCTTGCATTGGTTGACCCAGAGGTGGATCAACCTGGTGATGAAGAACCAGTGTGGTGAAAAAAGACCATTTGGAGACCCAAAAACTGTGGCGAACTACTCAAGAAATCCCATACAACTTGCAGCCACTGAATGACTCATTCACGAAAGCATGCACCACTTCGGAAGTGAAGCCACCACGTCCGCGCTCCGGGCTCTCCCTGACTTGGTCTCCACGGGTCCCAATGATGGGACGGGCCCACCTCCCCGCGTCAACCCCGGTCTGACCAAGTGGCGCGAGATGCGCTGCGATGAGGAAACCGAAGAACCACCTCAGATCAAATTTGGGTTTCGGTTGGAAGCTCCGTTCGAGCGACGTGCCCGGGATCCCCAGCGCGAAGGATCGAAACCTCGCACACTGACCGTTCGAGAAAGAGCTTAAGGCCGCAAGGCAGCAGAAGTGTGGCTCATGTTTTGAAGTTGTACCACTGCTGCCTAGCAGCATGCCACGGAGGAGGAAGTAGGTGGGGCCCAGCATCATGTCGATGCCAGTGAACATCATGAGCACTCCAAACCTCAGGTCCCCGAGCTCGGGGAGGGTAAGTTCCCCAATTCGGAGAAGAATGGAAAAGCCTCAGTCCGGAGCTCACGGTGGTGTTCGATCCAGTCTCTTTCATGTTGCTTTTTTGCACACCAAAAAGAGGTTGTGGCCTTGCCAACAGCCGATGATGGTTGTGGCGGCCTGACTTCGTTCGCAGTAAAGAACCCTCCAAGCTCGTCCAGACTCACGACCGGCAGTCAGGCACCGACTCCCGACCCTCCCGACTCCCCCAAGCTCCACCCCTGCACATCCTGCCTGCCGTCCCAGTTCTCTTCTTGTTCCTTCCAGAACAAGTGGCACCCGAAAGAAGTAGGTGCGGACGTCGCCCACTCCCTCCAAACTCGGCATCGAATCGAAGCAGAGCCGTACCAGGCGGCAGCAGGCATAGGAGCCTCGGAGGAGAACAAACGTGGACCAGGGCGGATGCAGAGAGTTGGCGAAGAAGTGACCATGGATGCATGGCAAGGATTTTGTGGATATGTGTCCACGGAACTTCCGTTTTGGACTCCTGAGCTACCCCCCACCCTGGTCGTCATGATCCAGCACTTCGGGGTAAAATGAGTCGAACGACTTCCAAGGCTTAATGATGGGATTCTAGGAGTCGCCAAGCAACCGTTTGACGTGCACCTGTCCATCCCAAATCTGCTGTTGCATTCGTAACATGGGAACCTTTGCAGTCGGAACCTCCGCGTGGGTCGGGCCGAACCCGACTCGACTCCAATCGCCCATCACTGAGTTGGGCGCTCTTTCAGTCAACGAAAACCCACCAAACCATGGGAGGTTGACGGACCTGGGTGCCCGGGTGACCCACTATCAAAGAGTGTCAGTCTCAGGTCCCAAAGACCCTACAGAAGGTCCTAAAGGTGTTCCGTTTTGTATTCAACCTTGGTTCTGCGCTTTCCAGTTCGGATCTCAGGTTCCCTTGAAGCCTGCTTTGTTAGTCCTTAGCCCTCAAACACCTACTGCGCTGTCCGTGTCTTTACCTTTTCTGCCGTGGGCCAAAAGGGGGACCTTTGTTCATCAAGCGACATCCGAAAGCTGAATGCGTGTGAAAGCTGAGGTGACCCAACAGCCGGAACAGCACACAGGAACTGAGAGCAGCACGAGACCCAAGCACAGCAAAGAGCAAGCCCCACCTGTTCATCTATAGTGGTAAATATACCAATTGATTGTTTAGTTTGTTGAAGGATCCCATCTATGAAACCACTAACTCAGATGCGATTTAATATATATATATATGTATATATTTATATATTTCTCACACTTCTTCACTCTGACTACCATGTATGTGACCCACCTGATCGGACTGCACTTTTCGATCGTGGGGCCAACGGTCCTGCACAGTGCCATGGATGCAACATCTGCGAAGCACACTGCTCAGATACACATCGTATCACAAACTTCAATTCTATGTCAGGCATACCCCGCTTGTCACAGTACATGGATGTTTCTCCTTCATGGCAACCTGAGACGCATGCGGGTGAAACCGGCTTTAGCTAACTTGGCGCCACTTCAAAAAACCTTGACGGCTCGTCAGCGATTTTCGAGGTGGATGGAAGGAACTATTGATATCCACAAGTGAACCGACATGAGGTGCATCATCTTCCACAAATGCCTCTGCAGGAGCTCGGCATGGGTGAGCAAAGGTGAGTACATCGCTATTAGGTTGGCCTTTGCGGCCTCATTGTCGACCAAGAGAAAAGAAGAAACTTGGCAGCGCTTCGCTTCCTCTACATCGGAACGCTACCATTCCAATGCCTGCAGTTTCATCACCGTCCTCCAGGCATGCATCAGTAAAAACCACAAACCGCTCCAAGGCCCGTCGCGATCTCAAAACACGAGGAGGGTCATGCTGAACGAAACCCTTAGCCCAAACAAGTTCATCTCTCATGACATCGCTCGACCTGGAGTGGCAAGTTTTGATGCGCAAGGATACTGCACGGCCAAAGGTTTGAGATTCTCCAAACTGCAACCTTCCACGAAGTGTAGTTGACGAAGCGGCCGAGAGGCTGGACTCGTTCAATACCTTTGAAATGCTATCACAGGTCTGCTGAATGCGGGATTCCTGTTGCAGCATCTTCCAAGGCTAGAGAAGAATGAAGTTGCCCTTCCAACTTTTCGCCGTCGGACAGCTTGACACCCAACACTGACCGCACGGTTCTTGTCAACCATGCCCGCAAAGGTCCTGCATAAGATGGCGACGCTGTCCACACCACTCATTCCAACCGGAAGCTTGGAGAGAGGCTGGAATTCACAGGGCTAGCTGACATGTCATCAGTTGGACGAGTCTTGTCAGACTGTCTGGGGCCAAACCTAGGCGAATCGAGAAGTGAGCTGTTCGTGAGCGTAGGGGCCCTCGAGCCACCCACGCTGCACCTCTGAAATGGTGCTGGCCCACACTTCTTCTGCCAGTTCCGTGTCTTCTGACATAAACTTGCGGCCCGCTATCATCTTGCGACTCCACCTCGACGACCTCATGAGTTGTTCGTCTGTCATGGCTGGACCTGGACTATCCGAAGTCTGGAAGAGCTGAGTAGGTCCAGACGCGCCAGTGAAAGCCGTGCCCGCCAACTGCAAGTCAAGCAACCCACTATCCTGCACACCTGCCGCTTTGAAAAGCTGGAATCTCTTATCTTTGACAATGTTCCATCAGACAGGTGACAGCTGTCATGTAGACGGTCTTCTGACTCTTGCAGTTGTCGAGCCCGAGATTCATAGCACCGCAAAACTTCACTGCGTCTCTGCTGCATTTCTTGCGTAGTTTTGCATTGAACTTACCTCCCACATCCTCATCATCAATCACTGCCCGTTGCTCACATGTGAAGATCTTGCATGGCTGTGGAATTTGTAGTTGCACTTGCACTCTAGAGGCCGACTTCCTCTGGTCCCTGCAGTAGCACGCATACTGATATACCGCCTCCTCTTCGATGGGGAACAGCTGGACACTGGCATACTTGGTCTTTACCCAAGCAACGAACATGTTCATTGATCCTATGCGGGTCTTCAGAGTAGCAGTCGCCTTCTTTCGGAAGAAATCCTCCAAAATTCGCGCTGCTGACTCATCGTTACCAACGCACTTGAGCAATGTTCTGCCAGGCATTGTCGACTCAGGCTCGAGCAGGACAAGTTCTGCCCACTTCAGCCAGACGTTTGCTCATTCCGAATCTGGGGATTTGTAGATCTGATCGTACACAGAGTCACGCACCAACATGTTTCTTTCAGCTAAGGGCAAGGCTTCTAGCTTCTGCTTCTTGGTAACTGGAGGCGCCGAGGCCGACTTCGAAACATCGGAAGTGCTGGCGCCCCAGGAGTGAGAGGATCGCCAAAGACATCTGGCAAGAAAATGGCTGCTCTCCCATGGCTGCCTGGGATACGAGTGAGAAGTGCCTAGGGCTTTTTAGCGGAATCTAGAGCCTTTTAATGTGAGAGTTACTTCAACTCAGGCTCACCCATCCACCCACCACTTGATTTTTGTCAGAGGCGTTCACTCCGCACACTTGAACAATCTTCGACAAAGAAACATGCTTGCATCAAAAAGTTTCATATGCCTGGAATCCGTTTGACCGTTTTGACCTCTGTTTTGATGGGAAAAGACCATATTTTGGGTGGTTCGGGGTCCAAAAGAGAGGTCATTCAGGTTCTAGGTATACAAGAAGAGCAATCTCCGAGGTGCACTGACGATCCTCGAAGCCCTCGACCACCTGCTGATAGGCTTCCTCGGGGTTCCGCAGGAGCGACTGGCCTGACGGCGGCAGAGGGGGCCGTTTCGAAGCAAAGGAGAAGCACACCCGTTTGGGCTCCACCGTCGTACCTTCGTTTCGGTTTGGTGGGACTGTGGGGTGGGTGCCAGGAGGGTCCGGTCGTACCTTCTGAGGAGGTACGACTGGAGCCCTAGGGACAGGTTCTGGCTTTGACGCGCATGTTGTCTTTTTCAGGGAGCCGCAGCTTGTTTCTGAGAAGGCACTTGTCAAAAATCCTGTCTCATCCACTGTCTCACTCATCTTCGCTCTATCCAATCAAAGTGGTCCTCTTCAGTTCGCCCTGCCGCCCTGCCTTCTTCCTGGTGCACGGTGCCTTTCACCGTCACCTCACCTGCCAGCTCAACGGATTTTGGGCTCGGATCCAGAGCCGACGTCTTGGATTCGGCGTTGGGAGGCGCGAAGCAACAGCAAACACCGCTGACGCTGAGCATTCGCTGGTTCCTGACGCTGGAGCTTTCGCCCTCCCGAACTGCTAGCCTCCCGATGCCTGGAAGAAAGCATGCGACTCTACCTGCATATACTGATCGCTCAAATCCCAAGTGGTAGCGAATGGAACCAGGTGAAACTTGCTCCAACCACCCACTCATCCCCAGCCTTTCTCCTCGTTCTCACTGACCACCGTGCCGGTCACCGTCGCAGAACCTGTGCAGGTCGCGGACAGCGGGGGCAGTGGCAGAGCTGCTGGTCACTCTTTGTTGCGCCAGGCAGGCGGATTTGGATGCCTAGCTGTTGGGAGACGTGTCTTGATGATTCTTTTTCTGTTTTTTGGACCAGGCGGTGAACGGGTGGGATCTTCTTCACTTTCACCCCATTCCGCCTGCTTGGTTGCTACCAACACGTACCAAGCTCCAAGCTCCACACCGAACCGAACCGAACCGCCCGCGCCTGCGGGCGGATCGCGCTTCCCGCGGCGCCCGGTGGCCCTGGCGGACGGACGGCGGCCGGGGTCGAAAGGCGGTGGTCCGGACGGCGCCTCCGTTCGTTCCACCAAAGCACCGGAAAGCTGAGCAAGAAGATGCCAAAGCCCAGCCAGGGAGTGAGGACCACATACCTCACAAAAACCCATCCAAGGACCTCCCGACACAGCTTCAAGCTGTGAAGTACGCAGAACTGGAGACTTTCAGGACATCTCTCAGACCTGAGACCTTTCCTCTAAAACTCTCCCCTCGGCCCCGAGATTTCTTCCCGGTTCAGCCGAATTCGATGCCTTGCAGATACCTTGATGCCTCAGGTGACCCGAACACTCCGGCCCGTGCGTGTCTTCTGCCTTTGGCATTTTGCTCGGCAGAGGCCTCACGGCAAGTTCACGGCGAGTTCCGGCTAAGAAGGGACGACCGCGCGCCAGCCCAGCGCGCGTGGACATATCCTCCTGATCGGCCCAGCGGCAGCATCCCCTGCGTGGTTTTGGGTTTGCTCTTCTCCTCCGTGGCACTGTCCATGTCATCCGCAACTGAGCTCCGAGCAGAAGGAACCAGCGGAGATGGTGATGAGAAAGAGCTGGGAGAACTGAGAAATGCGTGTGTCTTGTCATCCGAAGTATCCACATGGAACAACAATGTAGTAAGCATTAATGATTTAAATGGTTCTGTATAGAAATAGAAGAAGAAAAACAAGAAGGAGAAGAAGAAGAAGAAGATCATGCCGTGGTGGCGCAAGATGCTTCCCCCCAACTTCTTGAGCCATGCCCATCATCTCGAAGGGCTGAAACAGCTGACTGTTTCAGGGCACTGCGTCAGCCTGGATACTTCTTGTGTCGTAGAAGTTGAAGAATTCTGCCCAAATCCAAGGAGTCTCAATCTGTTGAAAAGACATCCATGCGAATCAACACAACATTGTGGTGGTAGAAGTTCCCCACTCAGAAGAGAGACTCAGATGAAGCAAAATGAGAAAAACTCCGGGTAAGAACCCAGTTGCACAAGTGGTCTTCTCTGCCAGTTCAGACCGATCAGTTCAGCACAAGAATGCGGGACTGATGTGGACTGATCAAAAAAAGCTCGCCAAAATGCCGGGATTGTAAAGCCTCAGGTCTGATGGGTTGAATCCAAAAAAGACTCCTTACTTTCAAAACCTCTTCTGGAATCTTCTGGGAGTGAACCGAAGGCCGTTCGACCGAACCAGGCAGGGACGGCGGAAAGCCTCCCTCGACTCGACTCTCTGCGCTACATCCTCTGCCGGGCTGCGCGCCAGGAACGGGTTCGTCCAGCGGTGGGGCGTCGTCGCATGCAGCTGCCGCGCGGGGAGGCGCGGCGCGGAGAGCAGCGACATGGCGGTGGGAGCGAAAGACGAAGTCGCCACGGTGACGAGCTGACGGAGATGGCGTGAAAAGGGCTCTGGTGGCTACCGTATGCTGTGAGTTTTTTGGATCCAACAGCGAAGGTTTGTGGACCTTTGTGGAGGCAATTGAGGGGTGCGCTGGCATGCACTGGCCAAACATACAAAAACTGTTGAGCAGCAAGGGCAGCTCGCTTGGAGTCTCGTGATCCTCGGTGGCGCAAACGTGACACATCTGACTGGGAAGCTCCGACGGTGGAGGCATCCAAAAGCAAGGAGCAGCTCTTGTGTTCCATGGACATGTCGTCCCCAATGCCCAATCCTGTTGCAGCCTGCTTCACCCCCAAGCCATCCACAAAGGTGCTCTGACATGACTGTGCCCTATTGGAATTCGCCCCTGCAAAAGAGAAGTTGGATCAAGACTCTCACGGTGAAAACAAACATCTGTGAGAGTCTTGACATGGAGATATAATTTTGATTTGGGATTTCTCTACTCTCCTTTTTACTCCTCCATCACCTCTCCGTCACCTCTCCGTCACCTCTCATCTCTCTCCCACTTCCGAACTCCTCTCTACTTCGGCCCGGGTTACCGCAATCTACCCCCCAATCTCTCCATCTTCCGTCCTGGATCTGCTCACTGTTGTAGCCCATGTCCTTGATATGTCCAGCCTCGAGCTTTCGGCGGCGCACGGCGCACGGTGGGAGCGAGTGGCCGCCCCACATATGTCCAAGCAAGAAATCCAAACCAGGAACCTGAAAATAAGATTCAGAAAGGGTAGAATAGAAAAACTGAGTCTGTAAATGACGAGTCCTCTCTCCAATCATGCACCGTTCGGCCTCGACCTGGCGCGCTTCCACGCGGCAGAGCTCCCGGAGCCGCTGCAGCACCAGCCGCACCTCCGTTGAGAAACGGCGGAGGTTTGGTGAGAAACGGGAGTCCTCGTGAAACCTTGGGTCTTTCGGGCTGTGTGTGGTGGTGGTGGGTGAGTGGTGGTGGTGGTGAGGGTTGGATGGGCTCCATCTGGTGTCCTTGTTGGGTGTGGACTAGGTGATAGATAGAAGCCATGCTCTTCAGACGTGAAAGCAATGATGCCCAAACATCATTGGAATCCAACAACCTGAGGGTGTACGGAGTGGTTGGTGGGCTGGCTGAAGCATCTACTGGCTCTTTGTGGCATTCAAAAGCTTTGGGTGGCCAGACCAAGACAAGCCACTGTCCTTTCCTACTAGTTTGATCCATCAACAGTGGGAGGAGGCTCCAGTTCATGGATACTTTGGAGTAAGAACGTTGTATGATCTTAGCCTGTCACCAACCACTTCCCCTTCAAAAGCAAACATCCCAGCACCCCAGCTGTCAGTCCATGATGTACAGAAACCCGAGAACAACACTTCTGAGGGACTCTTCCATCCCACTTGACCACACGTCCCCGCCAAAAAAGGCCCGTGAAATCAGACGGGAAAAAACACGTTCTTGCGCAC